GCATCCTGGTGGACTATGTGTAAAATGCCAGAATTCATATGATGCTGCTACAGCTGATATACTGTATATTTGTTGTCAAAATACCTTTTAGTACATATGTTGTTAAAATAAAACGAACAGTCCAAAGATCATTTTACTGATATGTATAAAGACTRCAAAGGCTGAAAAATCTTGAAGTCTGAATGAAATTGGAGGTAGTTTGAGGATTAAATTTTTTATGCTTTTTAAGCTCAAAAAAGGGGGGGTCGTATTATACATGAGATTGTATTATACATGAATAAATACGGTAAATCAAATAAATACCTAAAAATCACTAAATTAATTAATTTCTTACAAGTTCTACAGACTTTTACCCATTAATAAATTCTCTGCATAATCAAACTGAAACATTTTTCCTATATAAACCAGATCTCTTTCAATATAAGAGCAGGTTTTAGTAGCTAAATATTCCTCAATCCTCATCACTCTGATCTGTTTTCATGTAGGCCCTGGTGCTGCTGGACGTCACCCCAGACCAGTCCATGGTGGACGAGGGCGTCGCCAGGGAGGTCATCAACCGCATTCAGAAACTACGCAAGAAGGTTGGGGCATTTTTTTCGAAAGCGCTACTAGCTCTGCTAAAAGGAGCGACACACAACAAACTACTGCTGAATTCTGCAGTCCAGTGTTTAATAACTAGTGTGGCGTCAGTGAAAGAGCCAGTGTGTTTAATCAGGGTTGGTTCAGGCTGAAGAAGATGTGTACTCCTATGACTAATGACTTAAACTTCTCAAGATTTTTCTTGTTTCAGATCTTTAAACTGATTTTTTTTATTTTATGTTTGCCTCAAACCTTCTCATTTTTTTCCAGACTGTCTACAACAATTATTTATTATTAAGATGCCAGAAATCTAAAGTTAGTTACTAATCATTCTTTTAGTAGATTAATATTGTAACCAGAAAGTAGTAACACTCYAGAGACTTTTGTATCCTTTTTTTTCACTATAGTTTCCTCTCTTTAATCACTCCTGTGGCCTCCCTTCCTCCTCGTCTCATTTTATTGTCAGGGCAGAGCTGAAATCTTTCCACTACAGCGACACAGTTAGAGGTTTCTCCATCATAAGGCAGGCTTAATAGAAGCTTAATTACAGTCTGGCCCCTTTCAGATTCTGATGTTGGAGCTTTGAAGTAAACTGGGGAGTAAAGACGGATTAACCAACAACCTCTTGTTTTCACAAGAAACAAACAGTTTTTTCCATCTCCCTATAGCAGCGCTGTGCTCTGGCTTCTGGCCAGGCTAAATTCYTCCAGTTATTTCAAACTGAGATCTTGGAGGAATTTTCCACACTGTGGATGGGAATTAATTTTTTAAAAAAGATTCTTTTAGATGTTGAGCAGTAGTTTGTCAGTGTAGCTCCATCTGATACACACGCTGTACAGACATCACCAGAATGAAGCTCTTGGCTTGGGAAAGCTTGTAAAACTTCTCTCATTGATTGATTGATATCTAGTTAAATTCTTTTTCTGCCCTTGAGATGTGCTGGCAAGCGTGTGTCCGCTCCAGACAATGTGTGTGTGTGTGTGTGATGCACAGTTGTGCGCTGCTGCGCACTGCAGATTAGAATGAGATCAATGTGTTTGAATGCAGCAAGGTTAGTGGAAGCTAGCAGCAAGTGAAGCCAAAATAGATGGGCTTTCATCCAACAAAAACGTCCCCCTGTCCCCTTCTATTTCTTTCTGTACTGTCTGTTTTATGGTCTTTATTACCAAATGTCTTTTTTCTGTCCTTCCTTTTAGGTAGCTGTTTTCTGCATATCAATTTCTAACGACAGAGAGGGAAAAAGGCTGAACTTGCATTGCATTACTGTTTTTTTTGCATGGTTTGCAATTATTTTTGTTTAGAACAGTCGAGTAATTTCAGCATATTTTTCTCTTTAATGTGTCTTTGTTCCCAACATTAAAAAAAAATAAATAAAGAAAAAATCATCAGCTTCCTGTAACGTTTTTGAAAAAGGCTGCCCTTGGTATTTGCCTATGTAAAACCGTGTCCTATATATATGTTTTTTTTTTATCTTATGATATCAGGGACGTTTGGTGCCATCAGATGAGATAACTGTGTATTACCGCTGCCTGCCTGAAGGGGAGTACTTGGCATCTGTGGTCCAGGCTCACACTGACTTTATTCTGGCTACCACCAAGGCTCCTCTTCTGCCCTTCCCTGTCCCAAAAACTGCCAGCATCATCATAGAGGAGAAGACTCAGGTATGAAGAGATCCCTTCAGGGAAAGCAGAATTTCTCTTCTCAGTAGTGAGTCAGACTCACCCTWACTGGCAGGTTGTAAATTTCCTCTAAAATATGCTGATGCCAGTCAGTGTATGAAATCATAAATCTGAGTAATGMTTTGGACATGTCGATCATGATGATTACCACTTGTTGGTTTTAGGATCTTACACACATGAAAATGTTTCATTACCCTTTTTACAGCTCAATATATTTCTCACAAATGTCACGTCATCTGTTGATTTCAATTTTAGATATTTTTACATAATGACAGAACTTTAACTCTTTAACTTTAAGTTTTTTATTGTTTTTTTTTTTCAGCTGAAGGGCTCAGAATTGGAGTTAACTATAGTAAAGGGATGTACATCCCCTCGAGCTCCTCTAAATGGACCAGCATGCTCATACGTCAACCTCAGGCTGAAAGTCGGCAACAAACAACAAGGTAGCATTGATGGAGTAGACTGTAAAGACATTTCCCTTTGACTATTTTTATTTTATTTTTTTGTGGGCTTGCTGGTACAGCATAAATTCAGTGCTCTACAATGAAAAAACTGCTTGTTTTTAGTAATCTCATTTGTGTTTGTGTCTTCAGAGGGTGTCATTCTGTTGGAGAACCCCAAAGGGGATAACAGACTAGACTTGGGCAAACTGAAGAAAGCTTGCAGCAGCATCTTCGGAACCAATAACGTCCCGCTCAAGTTCTACAGTGGTGGAACTGGTAAGAGGTTTTTTGGCTGCTCAGACAAACATAAATTCTGCTCTCTGCTTGATTCTGTGAGACCAGTAAGTAACTGTCACAGTAGACAAACCCAGCGTCACTTAACGCGAGTGACTTTTCTTTATTATGTTCCTACCGCCAAGTCTTGTTAAGACTGAGCCGTTTTGCTGCATAATTGAACACTTTTCTGCAGAAAAGCTCAATTATTTGTGAACAATTTATAAAGAAAAATATCTTGTGGCTGGCCGATCCATCCCAGTAGCACGATTCGAACTGTCAGCTCATTTGCGCATGCGCTAAATGATATACTTCTGTAATGTGCTGGATTTAGGGGAAAAAACTGAAAATATTTATTTCTATACTTAATTATAAATGTGTTACATTATATTCCATAAACAGTTTAGATATTGTATACATTTTGATTAATAAAATACAGATTTTTGATGCGTACATATCTATTTATGATAACTTGCTAACTATTTTCTTGACAAACATGTTAAAACTGACTTTATCTTTAATTAATTTTTTTCCTGGAATAGAAATCCACAGCTGTTGCAAATGTTGCCTTTTCTATGAAACCTTGCAGGTGATGAAAGACTGATATCGAATGAATTCTGTCATCAGTTTAGCGAAATGCTACATGCTAAAAACAATGTTTCGGGGACAGTACGTATTGTGTTTCTGGTACGGATTGTGCAGCCACATATCTTATCCGTTTTATATTTGATCAACATAACATCAAGTGTTTTTAAAGCACTTCAGTGAAGCTAACCCCAACAACACAAGTGTCACTTTTCAGTTTTTCATAATAAAGCAAAAACTATATGCATCATTTTTTGTTTTATTTTACATTTTTTCTATATACACATGCTATTTTATGTGTTTATTACAGAACTGACCAGCAAAATGGATCTTCAAGCTCAGTGTGGTAAAACTTTATATGTGACTTCAGAAGCCTCCTCTACAGGCTCCGTCAACACATCTGACACCCCGCTGTGTCCCTATGTTAACCTGTCGCTGTGCAACGCACAACCAGCTGGTGAGAAACATATAATATACCCAGAATTTCCTGTTGAAGAGTAAGGCTTTGCAGTGTTGTTTTGTCATAATCAAGAAACCAGGGTGGTTATTTGGTAAATGTGTTATTATAATCAGAAACTGTTATAGCCTTTGTTATTTTTTAAGCTTATGGCTGCAGGACGTGTTTTTCTTTTTGATTATTTTCAGTGTGACTCAGACACTGTACTATACTTTCTTRTTGTATGTAACTCATAGATACTTTAATGACAAATGTCTTGTTCATATTTAAGATGGAGCCAAAGTTTAAGAAGCAGAATTTTTCTGACTAACTTTGAATTTATCACTTAAAAATTGTTAGTTTTAGTTTAGAAGTAGTTGACAACATTCATACTTTTTCATTTTTGTACAGTTGTTGAAAAGTCTTTAAGAGCTGTTTGACAATCTGCTTCTTAAAAAATGATACATTTTTATGTAGTTTTTAACAAATAAATTCACTTGGAGTAACAAAACATTTGTTACCCTAAACATTAACGTTGTAAAATCTTGCCTCATATTTACTGTATTTACATCAATTTGCCGTCTGTCTTCTCACATTGATARAAATGCATCTCATAAGATGTCACTTTGCATAATTAAAACTATACTTAGCACAAAAAGTAAGGACATTTGTGTGTTAGAATATKCTTTGTTTTCAGCCCCTGGGGGCACCAGAATCTCAAAACAAATATCAATAGGAACAGCAGAATAAGCTGTTTGGCAGAGAAGATTTGGCAGTTTTTTCATGTGTGCAACCCGCATACTCAGCTCTACTGCTCATCCCACAAATGCGTGTTCCTTACAAATGTGGCACCATTTAAAAGGGAAATTAACAGRCTTTACAACGGTGTAAGATTGATTTYCAAGAAGCATTGTTACAACAAATAAATAATCTACCAAACAAATTTCATTRCRTTTTGTGCTAGGTTTATGTCGTAAGATTAACTGGTAAAGAAATATAATTTAACCTCCATTTGTTTTGTGAGTATGCCAGTTTTTCTTTCACTAAAGCATGTTTTTACTTCATCCTTTTTATTAATTCAGACTTGACCTCTTTCACCTTGTTGCTCTGCCCCTCCAAGCTTAGCTTCCTTTGGCTTTGTCCTCCTCATTCTGCAGCTTAGGATCGCTTCAGTACTTTCTTCAAAAAGCTCATTTTTTTAAATTACAAAGGGAATAATTCAGTCTAATTCATTTCTGTGTCTCCTAGAGTGCCAGAATGGAGACGTTGGCACCCTCCTGTTGGGGAACCCAGCAGGCCAGAATGAGCTYGATTACTCTGGTCTGCTCTCGGAGGCAGCCAAGGTTTTTGGGCTTCGCAGCAGACGGCTCAAACTCTACCAGGACCAGGACCTAACTCAAGGTATGATATTTAAAAAAATATCTAAATTAGGAAGATTATGTCATTGAAATCAGATTTCAATGTTATTTCCAAAAATATCTTTAAGTTGAATTAAAAAATAGCAGATTTTATCTTTTAAAAATACTTTATTTAGTGACATTAAGTGATGAAAACGGCTCTTGTTGAACCTCAGTAATGCTATCTCACTGTATAACTGAGCTGGTAGTCAAACTTTAAAGTTCAAGTTGTATTGGAATTTACAGACTATTGAGTGCGCCTGAATTTAAGCCACACCCACTAAATAAAAAAAGGAAACAAAGAAAAATTGTACGTATATAGGCCACACTGGTTTATAAGCTACAGGCGTAATAGGAGTTATTTACCCAATAAGATGTTACACCAAGCTCCAACACCAGCACACTGCACCTGACAAATACACATTTGAGAGCTAAAATGTCACCGTAAGAGAAACAAATTTATGTACATTTTTCTTTTCGAAGATGTGAAAAGGTTTTCTTTGTAGCTTCATCTTCTAACTGCAGTTATTTCTTTATAAATGCTTTAGTCTTATTTCTGAGTAAAGACAGTGAGTAGATGTTTTCTTTTCGAAGCAGGATGTGTTTRCTTGGATCATTATCTTGGTAAACAAAAGGTTTTGATGAGCATTCACACGAATAGAACACTGACTGCAAATATTAAAAGTGAATGTGTTTGTGTTATTTTTTCTTTTTCTTTCCACAGAGCTGCCAGCTGATGCGTCAGTAAAATCTCTGAACACCAAAACTCTTTTCGTGAGAGTTCTTCCAACCACYGCCGAGGCATAAATCAGCCGAGGCTGGCTTAGGAACACAACTCCTCTGCAAAGTTTTTAACAGGAAAAAATGGCCCGAATGAATTCATTATAACATGAAGTGGTTTCTGTTTAGATGCTTTTTGTTGTTGTTTTATTTCATTTTATTTTTTTTAACGGTGATTCAAACCAGGATTATCTGAGGTTCATGTTTGAAAATATCAGGTTTGTCTTTAAAAGAATCCAGTGCATAGTTTAATTCATAACATGACCATATTTAAGTCATTAATCGTCTCTCTCCTTGWTCACATATTTAGTTTTTTAGTTACAAATCAGTTTGTACACCGTTTGTGTTTGGGCACTTAGTTACAATATCTCTTGGGAAAAGGATTTACATGCTTTACGTAAAACAGATCCACTGAATGACTATTTCTACAAAACCAGTGAAAAGACTTGGTGATAAAAAAAACTATGGGAATGTAAAGCTGCTGCTGGTGAAAACTAAGATTTGTTTTTATGTTTTTATAGACATAAAATTGCAAACAAATGGCAAAGGTTCATTTATTCCATCTTAGTGTTTTTTWWTTTTTATTTTTTCCTCAATAAGTTCTGCAAAGAAAGGTTCCGGAGAAACTGTCTAACTCGATTAACTGTCACTGTTACCAATGGAGGATTCTCTTTATTATGGTAATGATGCAGGTTACTTTCCATCATGACTTATTTGCAATATGCTCAGCCCTCAGTAATTATATTTTGGCACATAATTGCAAAAGGAATTTGGGCCATTGTGCTTCGACACTGTTGTAAATTTAACAGATAAACCTATTGTGTTCTTTGCACTGGGGGGGTTCTTATACAACAGAAAAGGCATTTAAAAGTTGAAATGGATTTTTTTGGGCTGCTGTACTTTCGAGACAAATGATTCTGTCATAAAAAAGAGCAACAAATGCATAATGTAATATTTTAAGTGGGAACCAGAATAAATCAGAGGTGACTAAGAATCTACATGTTCTTTTCTTTCTGTTCACTCAGCCCTCTAAATTGCAGAGGGAGCCACAGTGAGTCTGTGGGACTCTGCAGTCTGACTTCATTGCAGTTTTATAAAAACACTCCGTGATTCATTACTAAGGTTGAGACGTTTCGACCGACTGTGTTGTAGCTTTGCAGCAAGGTCAGAGAACAAATTCAGCAGAGTGGATTATAGATGCTCACAGCGGTACAGAGGAAGATGAAGTCAGGCGTTTTCGGGGAATATTTAGCTTTTTATTCAATTTATTAGATGGAGAAAACACTCTGATTTAAACATTAATGGAAGGAGCATTCTTTAAAGGAATGATTACCGCCTGCCGTCTTCCATGAAGAAAGATCTTCAGCTTGTGTTCAGACTGTGTTAGGGATGACTCTGATTTTACCACGCCAAATTTATCTGCCAAACTGAGCCACGCACAAAACGCCATCTCCTTTTTTTTAGTGTTCAGATTGATTAGCTGTGGCAGCCATTTTGGAACGGGTCAGAGATGTGCACTGGTTGTTGCTTTCTAAGAGTTTCATTGAAATTCATACAGCAATTCCTGATTTTTGTTTTCAAACGCAGATAAACCCATGTACACRTTTAGGTGTCTTATTGGTGCTTTGAGTCCTGTTTGTTTTTGAGAGTTTTGATTTTAGTTCGTGTGCAGGTTGAATTAAATCACCTGATGAACCTAATCTTTTTGTRCACCTTACAATGTACTTATTTGCATCCAAATTCAACATCTAAATACTAGGGGTGCAACAATACATGTACCCGTATCGAACCGTTYAATACACACTTGTATCGAACAATACAGATTTTTAAAAATTATTTTATAAATTTGTCTTCTGAAGATGCTCTGTGTTGAAGGATCAGAGGATTTGTGTTCCACTACTCCACATAGGCTGCATTTTCGAGAGCGGATCCACCGAGAAACTTGCTGTTTCAGCAAAATTTAAGTTTAAATTTAATTTAAAAACAGTACTTTTGAGGTTAAACAAATGGTCATAAATTACAAGTTAAAAAGGCCATGGAAATTTCGGTTATTTGTATAAAAAAAATCGAACCATGAGACTAAAGTATCGAACCGAACCGAATTGTGAATTTTCTGTATCGTTGCACCCCTACTAAACACAAAATTATTCTTATGTTCTGCAACAACTAGCTTAACCACTAAGTCAGTGGTTTCTATATTAGCAAAAAAGAATTAAATATTGGGAAATTAAATAAAACGCACAAGTTTTTGTTTTTAGCCAAGATAAAGCAGGTATGGTAGATGAACAATTTTTCTCAAACCAAATTTTATTTTTTTTATGTTGACACCTTCCTAAAACAATTACATGTATCATTTACTTCAAGTTTGTCAAGAATATCAAAAAAAAAATCTTGTCACACTTGGTTAAGTTTTGTCTTTGAAGAACTTAGCGGTGGTGGTGGGGGGGTGAATTAAGAAGGTGTCAATATTTTCTGTTTGTTGTGTGGCAGCTGTCTGCAGAGTTTGCTGGTATTTTAATCTGTTCATCCTTTGCAGAGGAGTACATTTAACCAGCAGCAGTAATAGCAGCAACTTGGGTTAAATGGCAAAGGAGTCATTGTGCACCACTGTTCCACCTCCTTTTTCTCTTGTTTCAGTTCAKTAGTTTACAGAACTGGTTTTCAAAACATCTAAGGTGTTCAGACCTTCATTTACCTGAGATGGAGGATGCAGGGAAGGCTCCCTTCTATTTTGCTAAAGAATATTTTTCATGTAGATGTGCCTGCAGAAATTGTACTCAAACTTTTGTGAACTTTTTTTAACCCCTCTTTTTTGTATAAAAATTCTGGGGGGAAAAAAAATTCTTTCAGACCTTAACTTGAACTTTTATTTTCCTTTCCAATTTTAAACTTATGAACTGAAGGGACAAGTTACCTGATAACATGTCATACTTTTGATTAGACATCAGTATTTAAATTACTAGACTTCTAAGAATCTGCCTGGAAGACTGCATCACTACTGGAGCTTGTTTCAGAAACAATTCAGAATGCAGAGTTTGTTCACTACAACAACAACAACGCTTGTTATAGTGTTGTAGTGGCAGCAAAGGACAAAGGTACAGTTACTGCAGGATGAAAACAGGTGTTTTCTTGAATATGTAGGCCAATAAGGCCGGATTCCAGCTAATCTGTCTTGGCATCGTATGTGCTGTGTAATGGAAAAAATCTAAATCTCTGCCAGTAAATCAGTTTTCAGCACCCTGCATATTGCCTGTTTCAGTATGACAGCTGCAAGTAGAACTTGAGGAGGTAAGAGGATCAGCAGAGTCGTAGTTTGTTTTTGAATGAAGGTGTTGTGTGAAGCCACATAAAGGAATTCAGAACCTGATAACCCCAAGCTATTGTTTGCTGCATCTTTGATAAAAACAAGAATAAGTAAATAACTGTAATCCAAGACTAGATTAGCATAATTCTAACAAATTGTAGTACAATATAAGTAAGATGGATTTAAAAGTAAACTCTTACAGTTTTATTTTGACTTTTATTTACTTAGTTTGATTTATGTCAGTCTGCACAACAACTCTGCAAGGTGTTTGAACGTTAAAAATAGATTAATGATGCAGGTGTTTGTTTTAGAACAGCAGATTACAGTGATTCAACCCCCACCCCCAACATGCTTGATAAAAAAAAATGTGTTGACCAAAATGGTATTTTTGTTTCTTAATGCTTGAAGGTGTGGATTGTGAAAACCTATAGGATTGTGCTGTCTTTTTTTGTTAACAAAACTTTAAAAAAAAAAACAAGGAAGGAAGGAACATCCTACAAATGTGGTGATGCATACAGTAATTTTGCCAGAGCTTGTACAGACTGATGAATTTGCAAACATATTTAAAAAAAAGATATTCCAGAAAGGCACCATTTGGAAGTCGAACCTACAACCACCTTGTTTTTTTTTTTTGTCACTTCAGTAGAAAACAAAACTAAATATTAGTTTATTTAGTTTATTTATTTCTTCATCATCAGTGACTTTTTTTTATAAGTGAAGAGAAAATAGAGACAGACAGAAAAACAGAGAGAGAAGTAATTAGAAAGATTGAAATAGAGATTAGAAGTATATTAAATAGACACCAACAAAACACAGGACCACACACCCAACATCTGTCCGCTCACCTGAAAAATAAATGGATAAATACATAGAAGGCATATATAAATATAAATATATATGCATACAACCACCTTGTTGTAATGAATCATGATTGATACGTTCAGAGGTTTCAAATGTCTTAGTACAAATGCTAGGTTTTAAAAATACTGTTTTGGAAGTAAAAATTTACTCAAGCTTTTTACTTAAGTAAAAGTACTGGTTTTAAGCTGCCTAAAGTGTAAAAGTAATATAAGGGAAAAAAATAAATAAATAAAATCAATTAAGGATTAAAACTTAGGTTGTGCCAAGGGGGTCTAACACAACTCCCCCACAAAAAAAATAAATAAATAAATAAAATTAAATTAAAAAGTAAACATTTTTCCAGGGGCAATATGGACTATAATGTGCTATTAATGAAATTTTATGGTATGCACTATAGGCTAACTGTTTCAGCCACATATACACTCACCGGCCACTTTATTAGGTACACCTGTCCAACTGCTCGTTAACACTTAATTTCTAATCAGCCAATCACATGGCGGCAACTCAG